TCACAAATGTGGACATGTAGTAAACACATTTATTCAAATAAATAGACTGGGCCCGTGCAAGTGGTAACAGCTACTGTATGTCCGGCATAGGTTCAGAGCACTTAGGAGTCCATAGAGTGGTAGGGAGAAAGGGGGATAAAGGTGGGCGTGTTACTTTTTAATAACCATTTTGAACATAAATAAACAATATTAACCATGACGGTCAGCTATGTTTAGGAGCAAAAGAAAGGGTCCTAAAAGCCAAATTCAAAAGCTGTGAAACTGCCAACTGAAAGCAGTTCACTGCATTTGGAGGTGGCCTTTAAGGCAATTACCTACTTTACTTAAAAACATAATTATGCTAGTTGTGAAATGAATTAGATTTTTCAAATATAGCCCAGGGCTGCCATGTCAGATGCGACGGTTCTCAATCATGGCATCATTTAAGCTACAAACAAATACAGCCATAACACTGTTCACTGATGGGCACCAGCCTTCCACCAACACTTTGGGTCACAAACGAAAACAGGATCTTCATGCCAGGGTGCTGGAGGTAAAGCCGGTGCAGGTCCTCCATCATGTTGACCAGCTTCACAATGCTGACCTCCCCGTGCAGCTGCCGCCACAGTGGATGATGAGGACATCCAGTGCTGCACTTCTTTGCAGGGAGGGGAAAAGAAAGGGAGAAGCCAGTCAGACCAAGAGATATCCGGCAGGGTGAAGATGCTTCCTAAGCTCTCTGCAGCTCTCTGGCTCTCATGCTGCACCAATGATCTAGAGTGCAACTATGGGAGGAAAATAAACGAGTATAATAAATGCTTCTATGTCACATCTAAAGGAGAAAACATAACAAGGCAGCAACACCTCAAAATATCTAGATAACAGTCTATATTTCCAATGAAATATCAGCGGTCTAAAGTCTAGTTTATGCTGTGGGACCATAAACTCCATTTACCACAGTCACAGAAAAATATTTCTGCTGGATATCATGTACAATGCGTTAAACATGAGCAGCTAAAATTTACCTAGCTAGTCATGTCTGATGCACTACCAGTCAAGCTTCATGCTAAGACGCCTAATGTTAGCTAACTATTATACATGTCATTTTAAAAAAGGAGACAGCGATAGACTCCATGGCCTGGCCAATGGTAAATATAAAAAATCATTCAATTATGCCAAACTACATTTAAAAGAATTACTATTGAAATGAGCAACATAACGTCAACTTACCTCCATCTTGCCTGTACACGTTACAACTAAGTGCTGCTTGGAGTTGGAGCGGTCAATGAAAACCCATGATTGGTCAGTCAAACCCACCAATCGAATCTCTTATATTGACGATTTTTGGAGTAGTATGTAGCTGCAGTACCGGAGGCTGCCGTTTCAGGACCGCAATCCTAGGACCGGAACTGCATATCTAGGACCCTTGTTTACTTTGATACTGCCAGCTAGCTGGCTGGCTAGCTAGCTAGCTATGTTATTCTTGACACCCCCCTGAAGCCAATTACCCTTACCACAACCATCACAGAGTGTGTGCCTGTCGACCGGTTAACCCTACAGCTGTGCTAGCAGCAACGTGAAGGAGGTTAACCCTACAGCTGTGCTAGCAGCAACGTGAAGGAGGTTAACCCTACAGCTGAGCTAGCAGCCATGGTTAACCTCCTTCACGTTGCTGTGCATTACCACCACCACTCCACTAGATGGCATTGTCACGAAAGAACTACAGTCCTAGAACTGTGGTCCCAGGATTGCGGGGGTCCTGAAACTGCAGCCTCCGGTACTGCAGCTACATAATATTGCATTTTTGACTTGCAAAACTTTTCAAATTGCAAAACTTTCTCACTTGAAAAATGGTTTAACCTGCAAAACTTGCAAGGAAAACTTTTTGCCTTGAAATCAAAGAGGACATATAAGCAATTAAAACTTTTTGTGACACAAAAAAGTAGCATACTCAAATAATGAAATTTCACTGCAGCATATCTCAGCAGTTATTGAACACAACAGAATCGATATTTATATATATTTTTTTAGTGTTGTAAGACACAGAGAGCTTCTCTTCTTAGTGTTCTGGGACGACTCGACCCACTGCAAAGAGAGATATAACGTTTATACGAGGTAAACTAAACTCCATCCTGTTGGTCGCAGGAGAGGAGGCTGCTAGTGTGTCGGTCTTCCTCAGATTGGATGAAACTGGTTTCACTTCCCTCTCTGAACTCAGTAACCATGGCAACCGATAGGCATCACTGCTGAATCATGACAACAGAAGGTTTTCAGTACTAAAGATAAAAAGTTAAAACTGGCACAGTTTTCCTCATATGTATATTCTTTAATCTTAAATTAAATAATTGAATTAATTTCTTGTTTCAACTGTTTTAAATATTTCTTGTCTCAAGCAAAAACCTCCAATAAAGATGCTATGTTTGTCCATTTTATGTAAGTAAGAATCAACAATGAAATGTTCAAATGAACAATGTTAACTATTGAACTACTTTTTCAAACAAACTGATAAAACAAAAAACAACATGCCCCAGGGCTTTAAAATCATTAGACTGGGAAAAAGATGTAATAGTGCACATTAAAAACTGAATCAAAAGAAATTGGCAGTATATAAAGTATTTTCTTCATACAGAGTAATTCAGTTTCCTACAAGAAATTGATAATAATGTATAAAATGTAATAAAAGTTTTATTGCAACAACAAAGTCTTTGTTAACAACATAGAAGACTTCAAGAATTGTTATCACATTTCAAATATCAGACATAATATGTGAGTATTGATCCTTTGATAAACAGCATCGTCAAAGTAATCCAAGTCCCTGCTGGAGTCAGTCAGAGCATTTCCATAGAGAGCCACTTTGCATCAGCAGCACCATGCTCCAGTGCTCTGGGTGAGTTTATAGTCCTGAGAGTTGAACACTGGATGACTGACAGCTGTCCTTCATGACAACAGAAGCCACAGAAATCCTCCTCATCAAAAACATGACTTTGATCTGCGTCCTCATCTGGACTCTCCTCTGCTGCTGCTTCACAGGTAAAGTCCAGAGAATCAAACTCCTCTCCTCTATGAACATCCGTCCCTCTGAAATGAAGCCCACAAAACCATGACGCTGCTTTATGTTTTTGTCTCTGTATCCTCAGAGTCCAGAGGCCAGGTCACAGTGACTCAGCCTGGAGCAGTGAGCTCTGCTCTGGGAGGCTCCGTCTCCATCAAATGTAGGACCAGTCAGAATGTTTATAATTCTGACTTTTTAGCCTGGTACCAACAGAGAGATGGAGAAACTCCTAAACTACTTATCTATAGGACAACTTCTCGAGCATCAGGGATTCCAGGTCGTTTTACAGGTAGTGGATCAAACTCTGACTTCAGTCTGACCATCAGTGGAGTCCAGACTGAAGATGCTGCAGTTTACTACTGTCAGAGTTATCATGAAATCAACAGTCAGCGTGTGTTCACACAGTGAAAAAGCGTCGTACAAAAACCTCCCTCAGTCAGACAGAACAGAAACTGAACTGACTGCTGCAGCTGGAAGCTACTGCAGAGACTGATACACTTCACTGAGGACACACACACACACACACACACACACACAGACATAATTTCTGTGAAGTGGATTTAACATTTCAACATTTGGGGAAATCAAATTACTTTTTCCAGCATGTCTTCTCTCTATCCATTTATATCCCATTGAAATCTCAGGTTCATCAGCGGTTTGTTAAATAATCAAGAGAAACCAACCTGAGACTATTAATGAGAAAAGTCTTGGTCATGACCTTTGACCTCAGCTTCATACTGGATCACAGACACTTCAACTATTTCCAGATAAAAGAAAATATGAAGACACAGATCAGCATCAGAAAACTTTGTGATAAAAAATGGACCAATCAAAACCAGTACATCCCTCCAATTACAAAAAAATATTGTTGTAAAGCAACATTACACAAGAATGGCTTCTTCTGCTATTTAGTGCCCCCTGTTTCATGAGTATTGTTCACTTACACACCACTGTTGCAAATATGAACAGCTGTACACATGTAGTTGTCATGATTACATAACTTACATGATTAAAAATGTCAAAAACATTGCTTATACAGCCAATCATCAAGCAAGTCGGAAAACACAAGAAATAGCAAGCAGGCTAATTTTACTGACTAGTCCAACAGCAAGAAGGCCAGCTCGACAACTCTCTCTTTGTATCTTCCTCACTCCTTTCGACAATGACTTCTTCAGTCTCTTTTCAGCCTCTGCTATGATCTCCATACTGAGAACATCAAGGCAGCTTATAGTAAAGCACTATGCCGTTGTGAAAGGTTTCCTGCCCGGGATTCCAGTGCTACATAGTGCAAAAGCACCGTGCCCGGAGTGAAGCTGTTGTTTTAAGATAACATTACTACATCATGATTCAATAACATCACATGCTCTTCCTCAGCAGATGGAGTCGCTCATTTTACTCAGCATTATTCTGGCTTCTTGTCCACTTTGACTTCAGAGTTAAAATATTCCATGACAGCTGGGTGAACTCCACCTGCTGATGAAGATCATGTCATAAAAACAGTAATGTAACTGATGATGACTTCAGTGTTTTATGGCTCCACCCACATGTCCAAAACTTCTGGTTGTGTTTCTTAAGGAAGCTCTCTGAGATCGTCATCCTCAGCATCCCCTCAAACACCCAACATTACTTTACTTGATGAAATCTCCACATTACAGACACCTAAAAGATGTAAAACCTGCATTAATATTGATGTCATTAATCATTGTCTAAAACACCATAATACCATATTACATGTAGAGGAAACTGAAAATGACAAGTTTTCAGTATCTTCTGCATGTAAATATGTAAATATGTAGATCAACGCTCTCAGCACTGAGGGGGAAACACCATGATATGTTGAGGACAGCTACAGCTCACTGACTCTGTGTGTTTGCATATGTGTCCTGCCTCTCTGCTCCCAGCCGTTAAGAGGCCAGTGTTGATCAGTGGCTGTCCAGGCCTTTCAGAGCCACTGACACGCCGGCAGCACAATGATGATGTCACTGATTCTACTGCTGGCCACCCTGGGGCTCCTTGTTCAGGGTGAGACTCTCTTCTGAAAACTTTGCTTCAGGATGCAACCAGGTTCACCACAATGATGTTCTGCTGTGATGGAGAAACACTGAAACAAGCAGCATTTACCTTCTTCCATCTGTTCTCCATGTTAAAGAAATGAGACTCTTCTGTTTGGATGTTGATCATCTTTCTCTAAACTGGATTTGTCTCAATAACCCTTCTCCTCTTTTTCATGTTTTCCAGATTCATCAGGAGAAATCATCCTGACTCAGTCTCTTGGAGCTCAGTCTGTTGTTCCAGGACAGACTGTCTCTCTCAGATGTAAAGCTAGTTCAGGTGTTACTAATGACTTGCAGTGGTACCTTCAGAAACCTGGAGAAGCTCCTAAACTCCTGATTTATGATGCTCAAACCCGTCAGTCCGGAGTTCCAGATCGTTTCAGTGGGAGTCAGTCTGGAACTGACTTCACTTTGACCATCAGAGGAGTCCAGACTGAAGATGCAGGAGTTTATTACTGTCAGCAGGATTACAGCCGTCCGTTCACACAGTGATACAACGTCGTACAAAAACCTCCTTCAGATGGAGAGTTATAGAAATACTTTAGTAATTTTCTGACAATGAAGTCAAACACATTAATTTCCTGTATAGATTACATTTCAAATAAAATAGATTTAATCAAATGGCAAACACTTTTTTCATAATAGTACGTTTTTGGATATACCATTTACACACTATTGTTCTAAATCTAAAACTCTTTTGTCTTTCATAGGCCTATGTGTACACTTTCATAAATTTTTTTACAGTGTAAGTAATCTGCTAAAATGTGCTGAGAAGTTCACTGTAAACACCAATGCAGTGTTGAAACAGCAAATATTTATTTGTCAAAATATTACTGCTGTAACAGTAGCACAGTGTTGTATACAGTACCATACAAGAAAACCAAAGCATAAACGTAAGGAAAACCAAAAGTATAATTTTTACCTTTATTGCCAAAAATGAATATTTTTTACAACACTGTACTGCAGAAATAACCATTAGATTGTTGCAACCTGTTCTAATTTCTGAAGGTTCAAATTATGGATGCTACTGTAAAGGACACAAGATGAGCAGGACTCCTCCTCTCCCTCCTCCTCTTCCACCAACTCTTTCTCTTTAAACTTGTCCTTGGTGTCGTCCTCTGCCTCTCCCTCCTAGTCCCCTTGCTCTCTGTCCATTGTTGGCATCCACTGTTCAAAACAGGTAATTTGCCCTTTGACCTGTGTATAGGTCTACTGTATACTAAAGCAGTGATTGGTTAGTGATCAGGTAAGAAGTGTAGCATTTTGATTGGTTGTGTTTGGAAAAGGAAAGCAGGTCACTTCCTGTTAGATTTTTGTGTCTTAGGTAGAGAATTGTGTGTTTTGAAAAAAGTGTTTTATGCAATTGAAAACTGAGTGAAAAGCTGGGAAATAGCTTGTGGTTTTGGAGATTTGAGATGAGGTTTTGCTCTTTGCTCTTTCAAAAATTGTGTGACATGTAAAGATTTTGTGTGAAACCTGCCGTCCACCTTCCTCCACTGGTCTGCAGGGAGCCTCAGGGTGCTGCTCCAGCTGTAGCGGCCGTCCTTCTCCAGCACCCCGGGGCTCCTGCTCTCCTCCCAGCTGCTGCTGCTGCTGCTGCCGTCCACCTTCCAGGCCAGACTCCAGTCTGAGGGGAAGCCCTTGTTGGCCAGGCACATGAACGTGGCCTTCCCCTGCTGCAGCTCCTCACTGGAGGGGGGCAGCACCGTCAGGGTGGGACGGACATCACCTAGGAGACACCAATCAGCTTAGAGGACACCTTTACTGTGTGAGAGCTGATTTTCTCCTTTAAGGAGTTTCTGTCAGATGGTTTTTCTGCTCCACCAGTCACTCACTCACACATTGTTTCACTTCCCTTTAAGAAGCCTCTCATGCAAATCAGCACAGAGAGAATCATCATACAGAACGACCTGAAATATATCAAACTACACTGGAAATAAAATAACAAACCTTCTCGTTAAAATTGTAAAACATCATAAGCATAACTGACTGAAGTATTTAGTGGAAGTATAAATAAACATAAAATGAACCGACTGCATTCAAATGTTCTTCATCCGTATTTAAATCACATTTCAAAATTTTAAAGTAACCCATCTTGATCTTTGCTCTGTTCAATTAAATAAAATGAATTAACTTTTACTTAAACAGTTATTTTCGTGGTATAAAATGTTATACTAACCTTAGCGATCATTTTTACATTAAGATTAAAATGTATCTTCTCTCCAACGAAATATCAATTTTAAAACTTTACAATATTTTATTTTGTATTTGAAAACTTACTTCCAACATCCAGTCTGGTTCCTCCACCAAAAGTCCACAACAGTGATACAAACTCATTGAGCCGCCGTACAAAAACCTCTCACTGTAGAGAGACACGGCTCTCTGACTTTGACACAAAGTAAACATTCACAGTTATGAAATAAAAAGTCATTTTCAGCCCTAACCCTACATTACATCCAGTAAAATTACAATACAGAAATGATCAGAGATCCATATAAATGAAAAGATTACCAAAAAACAAAAATCCCATTGTTGAAATTTCAGTGTAACACTGATGTTAATTTCATTGTTGGTGAATTTAGTGGAATTTATACAACAGAGGACATTCTGAAATAACTTTTATCTGTGGCCAAATCCATATAAAAAAAAGAGAATTAATACTTCCAATAAGTACTCTGATAAAGTGATTGATCCATTGATAAAATCAGTGGAGCATCAGAGTAATCAAGTCCCTGTTGGAGTCAGTCAGAGCATTTCCATAGAGAGCCACTTTGCATCAGCAGCACCATGCTCCAGTGCTCTGGGAGAGTTTATAGTCCTGAGAGTTGAACACTGGATGACTGACAGCTGTCCTTCATGACAACAGAAGCCACAGAAATCCTCCTCATCAAAAACATGACTTTGATCTGCGTCCTCATCTGGACTCTCCTCTGCTGCTGCTTCACAGGTAAAGTCCAGAGAATCAAACTCCTCTCCTCTATGAACATCCGTCCCTCTGAAATGAAGCCCACAAAACCATGACGCTGCTTTATGTTTTTGTCTCTGTATCCTCAGAGTCCAGAGGCCAGGTCACAGTGACTCAGCCTGGAGCAGTGAGCTCTGCTCTGGGAGGCTCCGTCTCCATCAGATGTAGGACCAGTCAGAATGTTTACAATTCTAACTGGTTACACTGGTACCAACAGAGAGCTGGAGAAACTCCTAAACTCCTCATTTACGCTGCTAGCACTCGAGCATCAGGGATTCCAGATCGTTTTACAGGCAGTGGATCAAACTCTGACTTCACTCTGACCATCAGTGGAGTCCAGACTGAAGATGCAGCAGTTTACTACTGTCAGAGTGCACATAACATCAACAGTCAGTGGTTGTTCACACAGTGAAAAAGCGTCGTACAAAAACCTCCCTCAGTCAGACAGAACAGAAACTGAACTGACTGCTGCAGCTGGAAGCTACTGCAGAGACTGATACACTTCACTGAGGACACACACACACACAAAAAAAAAAACAACTGCAAATTCACATCATCATGAAGAGAGACTGAAAATGTTACCACTCTTTCTTTCACGGCTAATGGGCCTGGTCATGCCCTTTGACCTCTATCTCATTCTGGCTCAGAGCCATTTCAACTATATCCACCTAAGGAAATATGAAGAAGCAGATCAGCATCACACACCTTCATGATAAAATATGGCCCAAACAAATCTCCCTCAACTCACAAAATACCATTTCAAATATAATATTAAATATTATAAATATTTTCTTTTACGTACAACAAAACACTTCAACAAATACCTTGAGGTTAAAAGTTCTTTTTGACCTTTGAATGAGAAAAAAAATCTCTACACAAAGTCTTTCCACTAACTGTTGTGGAGCTTTCAGTCACAGCTTTCATTGAAATGTAGATTTTCTAATTCTAATTCCTCAGAGGATTTTTAGGATTTCTTCTCCACATTGACTTCAAAGTTCAAATATTCAACAAGTGACAAGTGATGTAATTTGATCAAAAGCTCTAGAACATAAACTGAATTGAGCTTGTTATAGTTATTTTAGAGCAGGAACATTCAATCTTAACTTTGAAAAACAATACAGTTTACTAAGAACAAACACATATTTAAGTTGTTCCACAGTGGCACAAGAACAATGTTTGTAATGTTCAAAGTTTATGGTATTTTTATAAATGTTAGATATGGGATTTCAGCAAATAAATAACACTATTCAACTTTTTAAACTCCTTTCAATGCCGCATATGTTACTATAAAATACTTTGTGAAAACCACAATTGCTGACAGCAAAACAAGTGTTGAATGAAACATTAAGAAACATACAGAAAAGCAAACCTCTGAAAGCAAAATGAATGTGATATGAAGAACATAAAAATTTTTTAAAGCTTCATTTACATATCAGTATCCATGTGTCTCCACAGCACAGCAGGTGATTGACAGTTCTGTCTAACCTCTACCTCTAATCTGCTCTGGTACTGCTACTGCATATGCATACATATGATAATGTGTTTTTTTTGTGTGTAATACATGCCAGTTACTCTAATGTAGCAAGTTGTTTTAATAGCCTAGTATACTTGAATGCTTGTTCAATAATGTTTCATTGCAATGCTAGTAGGGGGCAGGATAAGCTGTGACATATGTCAAAAAGCCACATTAGAAGAAGTCGCTGTTGTTGGACGTAGCCCTCGTCAGACAAAGTGTGTGTTCCTGGTGCCGCTTGATGAGCTGTTTTTCATATGTTTTGCCAGTCCTGCCGGTGAAGAAATAAAACAATACTGATGCCGCTGTTGTCTGAGTGGTGTAACCGTTTGGAGGTCCCACCGAGATTTTACATCTTCACGGCTTAAGACTGAAGGAAAACGCGGTAAACACGGTGTGTGAGAGCGGTAGACTGATGGAGTAAGCTAACTGAGCTAATGTTAGTTGAACAGTTGAAGTCTAGCTAGTACGACACCATCCCGTTTTGTTGTTTTTCGCGCACGTAACACGCAAGATGTCGGAGCACCGAGAAGAGTTCATTTTGGAAATAGAAAAGAAACTGCTTGTACTGACTGTAAGAGAACTAGAACAAGTCTGTAAGTACTGGAAAATATCTGGCAGAGACTCTGAGGACATTAAAAATAAAAATCGTTGTGCCCTGGTTAAGCACGTTGTAAAGTTTGGTGAACATGAAGAGCTGTTGGAGAGGGAGGACGAAGGCATGTCTGTGCTTTTGGAATTTGCATCTGAAAGTGCCCAGTCTGGCCTGAAATACAACAGAGAGTTAGTTCATAGTCAGTGCTCCCAGTCTATCATGACAGGCTTGTTAAATGATAACATAAGAGCAGAGATGCGGGTGCACCTCCAATGAGAACTGTAGTGATGAACTGCTTCTGCAAAAGATGCAGAATGTTCAATATAACGAAAATGAGAGGGCCCAAAAGATTAAAGCAACAAACAAAGCCACTCGTAGGGCAAGTCTGAACTTGGTAGAGAGTAGTGGGGATGAAACAGACCCTCAAACACCCACACTTTGAGCTAAGCCTAGCAAACAGGTTAAAGAAAATCCCCTGTTCACAAAACTAGAGGAGAGCAGTACAGCAATCAGGGAGCTCACAGGCCAAGTGGCATCCCTTGTACAAACGGTCCAGCGTGAGAGAACGGCTGGTGATGAAAATCAAATGAAAGCGCCAGCTTATGCTTTTAAGAGACCAAAGAGACGTTGTGCAGCATGTCAGCAAGACAAAACTGACTGTAATCATTGTTTCAAGTGTGGCAGTGAGACACATGTAACCACACCTGTAACACCTGTAAGCCCACCTACAGTATCGGGGTGGGGGAAACAACTACCCACTCATCACCCTTCCTTAGCACCTTTAAAGGCAAATGAAAACATAAGCACCAACTCCTCCAACCACACAATCTTGGTACAAAACGCAAGCAAGTGGCACAGCTGGTAGGCAAAAAGCATCTTGTCTGGTGCAAAATGAACAGCGTGAAGACTCAAGCCCTGTGGGATACAGGAGCACAAGTGACCATCATAAGTGAGGCATGGAAGTCCCAGAACTTACCTGATGCAAAAATCAACCCCATAAGTGATTTGTTAAGTGATGATGAACTGCTGGACTTAAGAGCTGCCAATGGCTTAGAAATACCTTTTCAGGGCTGGGCTGAGGTCAGTCTTAGTCTCTGTGACCCAAGAGCTAAAACAACAAGGTCTGATGAGATACTAGTTCCAGTACTAGTGAGCAGAGACATAGTGCAGAGACCGATAATAGGTTATAATGTCATTGAGGAGCTAATGAGAGAGAGAGGACCAAGTTCAGTCAAGTGAAAGAGTAGTTTTGCTCAGAAATTCACAAATTCTCAAATGAGGTACGCTATGTGGGAAAAGTAATCTCAGCTGAAGGTTACAGCATGGACAATAAGGAAATAGTGGCAGTGCAAGCTCTAAAGGCAACCCCCCCCTACAAACATTAAAGAGCTGCGCAAATTTCTGGGTTTCCTGGGGGTACTATAGAAGTTATGTACAAGATTTCTCTCGTC